GGAACCCCTCCCTGTTGATGCCTTTCTCCATATCCAACTAATTTATGTTTTAAAAGGGGCCAATTTTAACTTGGCTTTGATGGGTTATAGAGTCATAGAGTCATACAGCACGGAAATAGGCCCTTTGGTCCAATCCATCCATGCCAACCGAGTTTCTCAAACTAAATTAGTCCAATTTGCCTGCATTTGGCCCATATCCCGCTAAGTCTTTCCTATTTATGTACTTGTCCAACTGTCTTTTAGTCTTGTAACTGTAGCTGCACCTATCACTTCCTCTGACAATTCATTCCACATACACATACATGCACCAACACCTGTGTGAAAAATTTTGCCCTCAGTTCCTCTCTCACCTTAAACCTATGACCTCTAGTTTGAACTCCCCTACCCTAGGGAAAAGATCTTGGCTTTTCGCCTTATCCATACCCCTCATGATTTTAGAAACTTCTATAAGCTCACCCCTCAACCTCCTACACTCCTGGGGAAAAACATCCCAGCCTATCATTCTACCTCAAACCCTCTCATCGCTGCAACATGATTGTAAACCTTTTCAATTTAATAACATCCTGCCTGAAAAAAAATGAAGTGACTTATGTAGCGACTTAACATCAGAAAAAACAATGATGCCACACACAAATACACAGATTAGAAGTGAGAAATGAATCTAAAAAAGGATATAAGTTAAATTGTATGCAGAACAGTCTTTGGGTCTTTTGTGAAGTGTAGGTAGTGGAAAGTGTGGTTGGGAAGTTGGTTTCAGGATTCTTGGTTTGCTAGGTTAGTTCTAATTGTGTTGTCCTGGTTTCTTTTGATGGTGATTTGCTGGCAGCGCTCAGAATTAGAGAATGGTTCGATTATCTTGTTCTCATTTGACTGTTTTTTTTGCCTAGCTGACTTATAGCTGTCAGTCTTTTACCTCATGAAAGGAATGACTAGAGGGCAGTTCTTCACTTGTGACCTTCACAGCACAATAATTCACAAACCCAAGCTAATACACAAGGTCCTTAGACCACTGGTACACACAAACACCTCAGCTCACTAGCACATCTAGTGAATTTTGAAGACTGATTTTATGTATTCTTGAAACAGGAAGATACAAAAAATATCTCTGCAGTCTTTTCTCCCACCATGTTCACAATTTGAGACACCTACCAGGAGATTGTTGATCAATTTGTAGTGCTTTTCTCCCCCATTTAAGTTCATCCCTTTGAAGCTTCCTTGACAACTCATCAGGTGTGTCATTCCAGAGTCTTTCTCTCTCTCTCCAGACTGTCGCTGAATTTACAATCACAGCTACTTTGACTGTATTCATCCTCTTTTAAAAACACATGGTGGAATTAACGTTTAATAAATCTATAAGTGATCCAGGGTTATGATCCATCGTCATGACATTCTGAATGTGCACCGTGCCCTGTCGCTGTGAGATACTTCTCCCATTCTGGATCTCCTCAGCCTCCAGTACAGTTTTGGAAAATATTGAATCACACTATTTTCCATGTTGTTCCAATTTTGTGCCTTTCCTAGGCCAGAATTAGTGGTAGATTCACTTTCAGTCATAACGCACCCTTCCTTTAGGAGGCAGTCAATGTAATCAGCCATAGTCGACAAAAGAACATAAGCATCACTGTCCACTAAAAAGATGCAATGATTATGTAGTTTGAGGGGTGGCATTCTGTGTCAAGAGTAGAGTAAAACAAGAAAGCAGACCTCTTACCAAAGCCAATACAGGGACTGAACCTGAGCTGTTGGTGAGCTGCCAGAAATCATTGTCCATATTGGTACTAATGACATGGGCGGGAAGAAAGATGAGGTCCTGCGAAGGAAATTTAATGAGTTAAGTAGGATGTTGAAAGGTAGGATCTCAAGGGTTGTAAACTTGGGATTAGTCCCTGTGTTATGTGCTACTGAGGTTAGAAATAGGAAGATAATTCTGTGTAGCTAAAGAGCTGGTGTTGGATGGCTGCAGATATTTGGATCATTGGGATCTCTACCAGGGCCAGGAGGGACCCGTACAAGAACGATGGGTGCACTTAACTGGAAGGGCACCAATATTCTTGCAGGGAGATTTGCCAGTGCCACTTGGGTGGGTTTAACCAAGTGTGGCAAGGGGGTGGGAACCAGAGCAGTAGGTCAGCAAATGGAGTGATTGAGTAGAAGGTAGAGGTTAAGTCTAGTGAGTCTAGTTGGAAGAACTGGCAGGACCAGGTTAATGAACACAGCAGGACTGCTGGTCTGAAGTGTATTTATTTTAATGCAAGGAGTATAACAGGTAAGGCAGCTGAGCTTAGAGCCAGGATTAGTACATAAGACTACGATGTGGTAGCCATTACAGAAACTTAGTTGACAGAAGGGCAGGATTGGCAGCTCAGTGTTCCAGGATTTTGATGTTTCAGGCATGATACAGAGTGATGTGAAAGGAAAGGGGGGAAGTAGCATCAAAAGCAGATGTTGCTTTTGCATTCGCACTTCTATCGTTTTTTTATGGGGGAAGTAGCATTGCATTACTAAGGAGAATGTCACAGCTGCACTAAGACAGAACACCTTGGAGGGCTTATCCAGCCAGACCATATGGGTAGAACACAGGAGTAAGAAAGGTGAGGTCACTGTGATGGGGTTATATTATAGGCCTCCTAGTGGGAATTTAAAGAACAGATATGTAAGCAGATTGTGGAAAGATGTAAGAACAACAGGGTTGTTGTAGGTGGATGATTTTAACTTCCACAATATTGACTGGGACTCCCTTAATGCCAAGGGCTTAGATGAGGCAGAATTTGTTAGGTGCATCCAGGAGAGTTTCTTGAAACAATATGTAGATAGCCCAACTAGGGAAAGGGGCCATACTAGACCTTGTATTGAGGAATGAGCCTGGCCAGGCGATCAAGTTTTCAGTGGGCAACCATTTTGGGAACCGAGATCATAATTCCATAAGTTTTAAGATAGTTATGGATGACATGAAAATTGGTGGAGTTGTGGATAGAGAGGGAGGTTGTCAAAGAACACAGCAGGATATAGATCAGTTAGAAAGTTGGGCGGAGAAATGGCAGATGGAATTTAATCTGGACAAGTGTGATGTGATGCATTTTGGGAGATAAATACAAGAGGAAAGTATACCATAAATGGCAAGACCATTAGGAGCTTGTGGTGCAAGTCCATAACTCCCCAAAAATGGTAACACAAGTGGATAAGGTGGTAAAGAAGGCACATGGCTTGCTGGCCTTCATAAGTTGGGACATGGAGTACGAAAGTTGGCAAGTCATGTTCCAGCTGTACAAAATTGCAGTTAGGTCACATTTGGAGTATTATATGCAGTTCTGGTCACCACACTATTGGAAGGATGTGGAGGCTTTGAAGAGGGTGCGAAAGAAGTTTACCATGATGTTGCCTGGATTGATGTGTATTAGCTATAAGGAAAGGTTGGCCAAACTTGGATTGTTTTCACTAGAGCGTTGAAGGCTGAGGGGCAACCTGGTAGAAGTATGTAAATTATGAGAGGCATGGATAGGTCAGTAGTCGGTGTCTTTTTCCCAGGGTGGAAATGTCAAGTACATGGGGGAGTAGGTTTATGCGGAAGGGGGAAAGTTTAAAGAAGATGTGCAAAGCAAGTTTTTTATGCAGGGGGTGGCCGGTTCCAGAGGTGGTGATAGAAGCAGGTAAAATAGCGATATTTAGGAGGCATTTAGGTAGACGTATGAACAGGCAGGGAATAGAGGGATGCTGATCAAGTGCAGGCAAATGGGATTATTTCAGGATAGTATCATAGTTGGCACAGACATGGTGGGCTGAAGGGCCTTTTCCTGTGCTGTACTGTTCGATATTCTATGTTCTATAACCTGTGTTCTAAAAGAGATCAGAATACCCAACCACCTCAATTATAATTCAGCTACTTTGTGCCCCACAACCATATAGTATCATTCAGCAAAGGGTTTTCCATAGTTTATGTGAAATAAGTTGCCTCAAATAGAAAACATCCTTACGTGGCTATCTGGTGCGTGACTTTAACATGGAATAGCAGTTTTAACATTAATACTTTCTTCAGCATAGCAAATCTCTTGTGTTGTCTGATTGTAATAAACCCTGCACAGCCCATTTCTTGCTATCCTTAAAGTCCCCAAGATGCCAATAGCATTTGCAGCTAATCGCAAAATGCTTGTAGCTGATGCCCTTGAGTGCTAGCTTCAAGCCATTTTCCATCAAATCTTTCATGTGTTCATTATGAATCTCTCTCTCTCTTTGCAGTTGAGTTTGGAATCTGGGCTATATTTAGCCGTGTTTTTATCTCAGCATTTTAGCCTTAAGGGAACAGTGATGTGACGGTTGACTTTTGCTTAATTAAGAATCTTCTCCCACTTAGTGAGCAACTGTCAGCATTACTCCAAACTTGTTCTGCACAGTATTACTGTCTACTGTTCATTTTGCTGATGAAATTCTACAATATAGCAGCATTATTTGCATTGGTATAAATTCCAACAAAGGGCATAATGGCTTCAAAATAATAAGGCTATTTTTTTATTTCTGCAGCAGAACACAGAATATTCTTGCTTTGAATACCATAAGATGCTAAACTATCTATTTTGGTTAGGGTGTGTTGCAGTCTGGGGAGAAAAAACACAAATTATTCAGCATTCAAGTTCAACGCAATTCATCCAGAGAACACTGATGAAAACAAATTGTTCCTATTCTCGCTTCTGTCTATATAGCTGACAACATCCAATCAATTTCAGCAACAGTAAAGGCACAGAATAAGTAAAAGATGATGCACCCTGATAGGATGAGCTGCACTTGGATCCCACCAGCTGAAAACAAAAATACACACAGTGGTTGGAATGGGTGTTGGGGGTTGACAAATTTTATTGTGTTCAAGACAACAGAGCGCCTTCCTTTCAACAGTTGACATTCCTGTCGAGCGAAAAGTGCTTCAGAGAAAACATTGCGCTCAAAATCGCAGGCCGACGGGCGAGTTGGTGAGAGAGAAATCACACATCCTGCTTCTCATATCTCCACAGCTCAGCTTGTCGCAGCTTCACACAGACAGCTTGCCCGACTGCAGAGTTCACAAAGAGAAGACTGTCGACAAAAGGAACAGCGCTAAACAGTGAGTCTGTTTTATTTTGTTCGCAGCTGACCTTTCCGAATATGAAAGGTCACATATTCATATGTGCGGGCACAGGCGTTGCTTTGGCTGCATCTGTTGCCCCCATTTCAATCGATTATCCCTGAGCCAGGACAGCTTGGAGCTGGCATCGATCTGACTGGTTAAGTGGAATTCTACATTTGACCAGATTCCAGCTTTGCCACTGTGTGAGCATCAGGCATTCTGTGGGAGATTATTCCTCAATCTGGTTTCTTCCAAAGCTCGGTGAAAGATTTGGTGCCAAAAAGGCCAGACAGCCCTGATTATTTAATGCTCACGCCGTGTCTTAACCAGGGGAATTTATTTTTAAAAATGCATAAACCAATTAAGTTTTATTTTACATGCATCTGCCAAAGTCATTGTGACTGCATCATATGGCAAAGGAAGGCTTGATTTGCAGTTTGATCTAATCACAACTAGGGAGATAGTCTGGGCATGTCACTTGCCTGAGCACTTTGGGACTGGGGGCAGCAATGGACATAGATAACCAAACCCAGTTGTGATCTAGGGACACTTGCTGGCCCATCATGTAGGGAGAACAGAATTTGACTCAGTCACGCCCACTTTAGGTCAAGTACTTGCTGGCACACAATATGGAGATTGATGCATGAAGAATGGTCAGTTCAAAATTATGTTGGACAACAGATAATATCATGTGCCCTCCTAAGAATTAACACTGAGGAAAGATTATTAAAGCTGATGAAGAGGTACAGAATGTGAAGAAAATAGCCAATGAATGAAAAACAAGTTACATGTGAGCAGAACGCCAGAATTAGGGACAATTTCGCAGTGATTGACCCATGCTGTGACTGTTTGTGTTCACACTGGGAAGCAAGGATTCAGATACTGGCTGATGAGGTTTCCCAATTTGTAAGTGGTACCAAAATTGGACAGTGGCTAATTAATTCTGAGATCCAAAGAAAATTATTTTCAGCTAGTGATAAAATAACAAATGGCGAAAACACATACAGCAGACAGAATCCACGTCAGTCAATTTGAGATAGCAAAATTAGTAATGTTTGCACCTACAATGCAGAATACCGTGTGAAATGAAGACAACAGTGTTGAAAGAATTTAGGTTCATAAGATATTAAAAATGGCACCTGAATGTATGAGGCCTAAAAAGAAGATCATGGAATATTGGGTTTATGGCAAGAAGTGTAGAATGTGAAATCTCAAATGTAATGGTGAATTTATATTAAATCTTAGTATGATCACATGAGGAGTGTTGTATTCAAGTTTAGAACCCATGGTACAGAGAGGATGCTGAGAAAATAAGTAGAGGATATAGGGTTGATTCAATATGCTACTATGAGGAAGTAAAAGTACAAAGAACAACTGAAATTATTGTAGCCGTTTTCATAAAAACGGAGGAGATCAAGGGATGACTCAATAAGAAGGCATTAGCAAATGGGAAGGGAAATTAAGAAGGAATGCTTTCTCACAGAATGTAAGCACAGGTCATATTGGATCATTTAAAAAGGACACGTTGTAGTGAGAGTAACAAGGTCAACCAGGTGGACCTCACAGGATATGAGTTCCCTGATTGGGGCTGTTAATCTGGTGCAGTCCGGGAGCCCTGGCGGACAGATATAAACAGGAGGGTCAGAAGTTCTGGTCACTCTAAGACCTGGCTCTGAAGGAACTGGATCAGTGTCAAGGACTCACCACATGTAAATAGAGGGTGACTTGGCGACAGGATACTGGCGTCTGTGGAGTTATTTCATGAGTAATTGAAAAAGAAAGTGTATGGAAAAAGAGCAGGGAAATGAGATTAAGGATCTGCAATGCTTGGTCTGGAACAATGCTGTGCTACTAGATCCAGTACATTCCTGCCCTCGGTTTTATACAAAAATATTGAAGTGTTAGAATGGAGTAGGATTCAATGATAGAGTTATTGTTACTTTTATAAAGATTTTCTAGGCTAATTCCCTAGGCTACAAGTCAGCAACCAGTCAGGTAGTGAGCTGGGATTGTAGGTGCTCTGGGGAGGGAGTGGGCATTTCGCAATGGGATGCCACATCCATGGGATACAGATAGTGGAAGGCAGAGTCTGCAAGTTGAGGGAAATGGGAAGGTGTGCTTAGAGATGGGGAGAGGCTGGGGCTGATGATGTCTAAGGATTTCTTAGGGTCTCAGGGGTGGGTGGCAAATGTCTGCACCAAGGAGCTCACAGAGAACATATTTTAAAGACTGACACCAGCCTGTTTTTGTTAGTTGACATCTTGACAGTTCAAGACCACCCTTAACTTTAACTTCATATGACAAAGTTAGACTGCAAGGTTTGAATGTTAAATAGATTTCCAACTGTATGAAACAGGAGGCCTGATTACAAGTTTGGTGGATTGGAGCCTGAAAGCTGTTTTCAGATTTTAAAAGCACATACACACATACGTATATGCACTCATAATTATATATATACACACGCACGCGCATGCACGTGCACACATACACACACACACCCACACACACACACACACACATACACACACAAAAATTCACAAACATATGCCCATGTGTACACACATACACAAGGTTTGCTTCAAAAAAATAAATCTGATTCTCTGACAGCAAAAACAAGAGTGTTTATCATCAATGATAACAGTTAGTTCTTTGAGGATGAAAGCTGCTTTTCCCCCTCGACATTATCTTGCTTCACTTTCTTAATGAAAAGCTTTGTTGAAGCTGACTTGGTCTGGTCCTTTGAGAGTGGTCTTGGAGGTGAGGGAGGGAAAGCCAGGCAAATAGGGCTGAGCCAAATAGAGATGGTCACCAACACATTCCTGCCACTGGGGGCAGGACTGGTGCAAGTGTATTAGCACCCTAGGTGACCATTGATTAAAGTACAAGTTGATAAATAACAGTAGATCCAAGTTTTGCATTCCCACCACTGAAATCAGTTTGTTTACTCAGTTAGTTTCTTGAATAGTTCATTTAGTTCCCCAGTGGTTCCACTGGCCCTAGCTGGAAACTTGCTCAGAGGTGGACTGCAAGTGGCATCACCTGCCCAATCCTCAGAAGTAGACTACTACTGCAAGCGTTTCAGGCCTCTGACTTGGAGTGAATAAATGAATACCATATCCACACAGCACCCCCAGCCACCCCCATTCCTGCAACAGCCTGTGGTCAGTCATCAGCCATCCTGCTCCATGTCCAAAAGAAGGGCCCACAATCTGCAAGGCCACTCCCAATTGATTCACCCCGAGGGGATTCCGCTCCTAACCTTTATGCCCCTTGTTATTTTACAGCATAAAGGTATGCTTCCAAATGCATCTGTATTTCAAGGAGGCCATCACAGTTCTCAATCTGTCTCAGCGGTGCCTATCTCTACTTGTGGAGTAGCCAAGGCTGCAGAGCCTCCTGCCCGCTGAAGGGGCCTACCAATTTGGAGGACACTTCCAGGAAGATTGTGAAGCTGTTCTGTCAGCCAGCAAGCGTGGGGAAAAAGCTAGTCACTTCATCAGGGCTCTGACGTTGTGGGAAAATCTGGTGCTCAATCTATTTCTAACAAGAGAATTGTGTTTCAGTCAAAATTCTGAGTACCTGCTAGTCACTGCACCTCAAAGCCACAACTCTGAGGTACTCAGAGGTGCAGCGACTAGCACCCTGCCTCTGAGTACAAGTTCCAGCTCGTCACCCCAGCACTTGATCGTAGAGGTATGTATGTTCATAATGAAGCAAACAGGTTTATATTTCTTCCTAAACCTCACTGTTGTCTCTTCATTTAAAGCAATCTTTCAAACATTACTTTTTCCAAGATTTTAAGCGCCTGTCCTAATATCTCTTTATTTGATCCCTAACCCTAACGCAGTGTTGAAATTTAATTCAAAATGCTTCTATGAAATGCCTTGGGATTTTTTTTTATTTAAGGCACTGTATACATTGTATTTGTAGTAGTAAGAAAATGGCCTGTTCGATGAGAATCATTTATCTTGAGAGAAATTATCACCCTGACAAGAAATGTTGGAGGAGTGAGAGAGAGAACCAAAAACCACTTTCATTGCAATCTGATTCTTTTAGCTAATTACTGGATAGTCCAAACAGTTTAGTCTATATACTATTTGAACATAACATGCAACTACAAGGTTATTTGAACTGGTGTGTTCGTCTCTAGTAAAACTTGTTGTTTGGCCACCAGAGTGTCAGACACATTCAGAAATTTATCGCCGTACCACCTCTACAAATCGAGTTATCCAGAAATCTGCACCAGTAGTCGATTGGTTAACTTGCTTCCCCCACTTCACAGTTAAGTGCCTAATTTACTCCAAACCACAGATTTTATGTGCAGGTTAGCAAGGACCCATACCTATAAGTTCCCATTGGGGTTTACAACTGAAAAGCAAGTAAGTGCAATGGTAGCGTTTACCAACATGGCATAGGTCACTCTTCACAGCTTCTCTGGCTACACTGAACATTCCTGTGAGGACATTGAAACCAGAACCAAGTGGTGATGCTGCTGCTACACTTATGATACTCTATTACTAGGCAGTCTGAAGGCAGTTCAGAATCAACTGCTGCATTACGCAGTAAGAGATTGAGCACTTTGACACCCTGCCTCGTATCATTGCATTAACCACCACAACTTGCATTATTATACAATGATATCGAATAATTGGTGGCCTTGATGGCCAAATTCTACCACAGCCCAGGTCAAGGCTTTCTGTCTTTCCTTTCCCTCTCTCTCTCTCTACTGGACGAATTCAGTATCCCAGGCTACTCGGTGTTATAACTATAACGTAGCCTGTGGGATGATAATAACCCAGGATCTACTGAAATGTCAGTTTTAAAGTCATTACCAATTTCATCAGGTTCCAGAATTGCACGTTTGGTTAAAATTAACTCCTTGGTGTCTGCCAAGGGATTATGTTCTCCATCTCCCTTCTTTGTTCATCTCCTGAGTTTTGCTCTTTGATTGCGATGAAAGCCGTTCACTCACAGTTTTTCATTTGATCTTTTTGCTTTTGTATTTTGTTATCCTTCTTCACTCGTGCTGTCACCTCTGTAATTTAGTTTGGTGTTCTTACTTGCTGTGGTTTGCCAAGTCATTTCTTCTGCGCTCCTCTTTTTCTCACAGCTGGGCAGATCGATTGTTTCAAACTGTATGCCGGAAATGTATGGAGAATATATTGCCCCGAAGCACTACAGCAATGCCTTGCTCAGGCCTTGGGGTTCTGACAATCAAAGACCCAGTCACAAGCCGCATCTGAGGTGCTGAGATCAAGACTTCTTTCAAGTTCTTGTCAAAGACCTCTTGAAAAAAGCAGTATTATCAGATGGCTGGGAGTTTCCTGATTGGGAAATGTGGATGTTAAATAGGGAAAAAGGTGGGAAAAGCCAGAAGGGAGGAAATGGTGCATCATTAAGAAAGTAACAAAAACACCCATAGAACCAGTTTTCCAACACAGAGATGGTGGTATGAAATATTGTCGCTACTGTTTTATTAATTGCTAAGAGGAAATGATATGTAACATAAGGCATGACAGGATGCACACAACATGAAACAGATTAATGAAAGGAACTGAGGCCCAACATGTGCCAAGTTCACTAAAAAAGGGAATGTAAAGTGAATTCAACCTGCAGCATAAACAGTGCTTCATTGTTCAGCTGTCTCCAGACCTGTTCCAAAGATTTGTTTTCACATTATATAATCACACTTGTCACTAGCTTCAGCAATTACCATTATTTTTAATGCAAATGTTCAGCCACTTTCATTCCAAGCTGGTGGGTTAGGACTAAGAAAGTACATAGAGTTCACAATAAGGCCAGTCATTAGCAATTTAAAAATGATGAAAACAAGATATAATCCTTCATATACTTGCCATTTTCACCCTTCCCAGTAACTAAGTGAGGTATAGGAAATACGAAAATACAACTTTCATCCACATTACTACGCCACTGACACTTCAATATATAATTAATGACCAGTTCTTTTGTATTACATCCCATGTGCAGTTCATTCGTCTTCTAGTATTCACATTTCTTATTCACATCAAACATCTACTCAGCCACTTAAAGGAGTTGCAATGGAAATCAGACACTGGGTCATGGGTTGGGTCCACAAACATTCTCAAGAAGTTGGCTATCACTAGAATGCTGAAAAGGATGGACTCTACACTCTGTGCAAAGCCCTGTGCCTAGTTAGTGCCACAATCCTTTCTGTTCCTCAGTATTTCATTTGCTTTGCTACCAAGCCTGCCGATGCACCAGGCATACCCAGCAGCCTTGTTTAATAGCCTGTCCCATCATAGTGATCACCTGACTTCCCTGAATCGGAACTCCAATGCACCCCTTGAGAGTTGGCACTTTCCAAATCTTTGTTCTTTAGTTTTAGCTGACTTCAGTTTTAGCTATCTCATTGCCTCAGATTGCACTTATATACTGTCATCTAAAGCACATGCAGTCCTGATATCTGAGATATAGGTTGAGTGTGGGCTTGAATGGCCATGTTACGTCATCAGGCATTTTATTCTCATGGCACACTGTCCAGGTGGTGGCAGCTAAACAGAGAAAGGCAGAAGGTTGGGTTTGCATTTGGGGAAGAGGAGGCAAGAGGTACATGCCATAGCTTGTAAATCAGGGGAGACTGTGCACTGGGGGGAGGTGGGAAGTGAAAATGTGGAGTGGGTAGGAACACATCAATATGTTCACTGGTATTGTTACCAGTAGCAGCCTTTGGCTAGGCCACTCCAATGATGGTCATGCTGTACCCTCCACTAGGCTTTCGGCATTCGTATGACAAAGACTGTCAGCAAGTGTGGTGCTACGTGACTGGGTAAATTGGCTATCATGTTTTTTTTAATTCATTCAGAGGATGTGGGCTTTGCTGGCTTGGCGAGCATTTATTGCCCATCCCCAGTTGCCTTTGAGAACGTGGTGGTGAGATGTCTCCTTGAACTGCAGCTGTCCATTGGGTGCAGGGAAACCCCCAGTGCTGTTAGGGAGGCAGCTCCAGGAATTTCACCCAGTGTCGTTGAAGAAACAGCAATGTATTATCCAGTTAAACAGTATGTGGCTTGGAGAGGAACTTGCAGGTAGTGGTGTTCCCTGCCCCTATCCTTCTCGATGGTAGTGCTTTGTGGTTTGCCAGGTGCTGTCTAAGCTGACTTGGTGAATTTCTGCTGATAATCGATAGCACACACTATTGCTACTAAGCATCGGTGGTGGAGGGGTTAGATATTTGTGAATGTTATACCAGTTGAACAGACTGCTTTGTCCTGGATGGTGTCCAGCTTCTTGAGTGTTGGTGGAGCTACACCCATCCAGGAAAGTGGGGAGTATTCCATCACATTCCCGACTTGAGCCCTGTAGATGGCAGACAGGCGTTGGAGAGTGAAGAGGCGAGTTACTTCCGCAGTATTCCTAGCTTCTGACTGCTCTTGTAACAATAGTATTTATATAGCCAACCCAGCTGAATTTCTGGTCAATAGTAACCTCCAGGATGTTCATTGTGTGGTTCAGTGATGAAAGTGCCATTGAATGTCAAAGGGTCATGGTTAGATTCTCTCTTGTTGTAGACGGTTGTTGCTTTGCACTTGTGTGACCTAAACGTTACTTGTCACATATTAATGTTCTCTGGATGGGGGACTTCATTTAAATTAGCAGGCAGCACCATATTTCATATGCACACTGCGTCTGCATCAGAAGGAACCAACACACATCAATCATATCCCTGCATCCAATGTTTGGCACTGTTCAATTTTGCCCTCCTTAGCAGTATTAGCAAATTTAATTATTTTCAATATTGGACAAATAGCTAAATAAGCTTTTTTAAAAAAATGCATTTGTGTCAGAACAGATCTCTCATCATTTTCAAGCTCATCAATTAATGGATCATCAAGTTCTTTTCTATAATTTATATAAAGTTGTAACTAAGATATGTGATTTCACAGTAGCAATTTTGGTTTAATTGGTGGTTTAAACTGGTACAATGAATAGCCGCAGATGAACCATTTTTTTGTGCATATTACTGCCCATGTAATCCTTCATAGTGAATATATTGTCATATATCTCTTCAGAACAGTATATGTACTTTTATTTATTTAAATTAAACTTACTTCGATTTAGCCCTCAGAGGCTAATTGCTGAAAAGATGCTGTCAAAAATTACCCAGCGCCTTGTTACTTCCCCAACACAATTTTAACAGAGGTTGTTCCTGTGAGAATCACAAAATTCAGAGACATAGAAACATAGAAACATAGAAGATAGGAGCAGGAGGAGGCCATTCAGATGATCATGGCTGATTGTACAACTCAATAGCCTAATCCTGCTTTCTCCCCATAACCTTTGATCCCATTTGTCCAAGTGCTATATCTAATCGCCTCTTGAATACATTCAATGTTTTGGCATCAACTACTTCCTGTAGTAATGAATTCCACAGGCTCACCACTCTTTGGGTGAGTAAATGTTTCCTCATCTCTGTCCTAAATCATCTACCCAGAATCCTTATACTGTGACCCCCGGTTCTGGGCACACCCACCATAGAACATAGAACATTACAGCGCAGTACAGGCCCTCGATGTTACACCGACCTGTGAAACCAATCTGAAGCCCATCTAACCTACACTATTCCATTATCATCCATATGTTTATCCAATGACCATTTAAATGCCCTTAAAGTTGGCGAGTCTACTACTGTTGCAGGCAGGGCTTTCCAAGCCCTTACTACTCTGAGTAAAATCGGGATCATCCTCCCTGCATCTACCCTGTCCAGTCCCGTTAGAATTATACCCCACTGTGAAACGTAATGAAATGAGCTGATGCATATTTATCACTCAATTAAGTGATGTGGAGCATGAGATAAAATAAGCAAATTCAGTACAAAACACTTAAATGTGGTTTCATGTACAGCACAACGCAATGGGCACAGGTCACTATATAGAACAATGATCTGCAACAAAGGACTTCAATAAGAAAGGCCACGGTCTAAAGCCTTAATATGCCAAAGGGCTGTTAACTGATAGAACTTGTGGTAACTTGTATTGGAATGTAAATAGTTTTTGTCATATTTAATAACGTTCCTATTTTTGCATTGGATGGAGATGTCCAAGAGAGCAATGCTCAAATGAGAAATTTGATACTGTTATTGTTTTTGCTGTAATGTCCAACTTGAACCATTTTGCCATGCAATGTCTGTATATTTTTGAATATGAGGGACGGAAAATCTTTTTATAATTATTGTATTGATTTGATTTATGAATCCATTTGGTAAAGTCTACTGCCTAGCGTGCAGTAATAAACCAACAGGCGGTCTATACTTATCTCTCTAGGAATAATAACACATATTTAACTATGACTTTTATCTTTGCATTCAAATCATGTTTACGAATGTTGTTATAGCAATAGATTTTAGATAATAATTCTTCTGTACATATTGTATCTGGTTGTTCTTTTGCTGATTTGAATGCTATTTCTGGCTAATTTAAGCGGATATAGATGATGACTTTGCAGAATAACATAAAATGCCCGCCTGTTTTACATTTCTTCCCATTTGTATGCAAAAATGTAAAATAAGCTGCCATCTGGCTCTGTCCTGTTTTATACAATGGGAAAAAATCAAAATCTACCCCAGGCACATTAATGACTTTATCATATTTCAGGAACATTGAAGCGAACCTTATCAATCTTATTTGCTCGTGAAAGCTATTATGTTGTAATTCATTGGGAACGCCTTTCAAAGGTGGATTGTTGCTGTGTCTTTCCACAGGGCCAGAGCAATGAAAACCCGTCTGGGCTGCTTATCACAGAAATCTGACTCCTACAGCGATTTCAGCTCTTTTCTGCCCAATAAGCACGAGAAGCCAATTAGATGTATGAAGTGAGTGATTTTGTTTTTAAAATTCAGGATGGCGCAGGGAATGGGAGAATAAATCAACGGTTCTAACTGTACAAAGAGGCTTTTGGCATTCCTGGGAAATTCACTTTGTCGAACGGCAGGGAGCAGTGAGCATCATTTTCAATGCAACATTGTGTTCTAATGCTGACAGGACATCGTCCAACCAGTTTGCACCAGTGCACCAATCATTGGGGAGGTGATGGCCTGGTGGTATTATCGCTAGATTGTTAATTCAGAGACCCTGATAACATTCTGGGGATCTGGGGTTTGAATTCCGCCACGGCAGATGGTGGGATTTGAATTCAATAAAAATATCTGGAATTAAGAATCTAATGATGACCATGAATCCATTGCCGATTGTCGGAAAAACCCATTTGGTTCATTAATGTCTTTTAGGGAAGGAAATTGCCATCCTTACCTGGTCTGGCCTACATGTGACTCCAGACCCACAGCAATGTGGTTGACTCTCAGCTGCCCTCTGGCCAATTAGGGATGGGCAATAAATGCTGCCTAGCCAGTGACGCCCTCATCCCGTTAACGAATAAAGGGGGAATTGTTTGTAAACAGAATGAGGAAAGGCTTGCCAGGCCATAACACAGTGCCTCCTTAGAAGTGACTCATTCTCAGTAATTCATCACCATTCATTAACTACTTGTAATTTATATCTGTAAAGCTGGTCTCTTCACTTCAATCAAAAGCTCGTCACTTTATTTTAACATTAAAACCGCTCAGTCGGGGAAATCCAGAATCTGCTGCTAATTTTGAGTCAATTGACGTTCCTCAAGTCAGGAATTGAAAACTATTTGTTATCTAGTGATCTCAGGGATTATGGATCCAAGGCAAATGAGGGAAATTGAGGTGACCTGATTAAATGGTTGCAGAGGCTTGATGGGCTGAAAGGAGTACTCCTGTTTCTAACTTTTCATTTTCCTTTTGAGTGCAGAACTCAACTTTTCTTAAACGACACGGATTGACAAGTTAACAAAGCAGCCAGGGAAACAAATTCTGGAAAATTCTGAGTGCTGTTGAATCTGAAACTTCAGAATGGATGTTTTCTCTGCCCCATCAAACATTCCTGTCTGTGATGAAAGGCAGAGCTGCACAAAGTTAGTAAAATAGGTGTCACTTTTCCTTAAGCGATCAGAAGCAGATGTACAGACTGAGATATACAATAATTCTCAATCATTTGTCCTTTCAGCAGCAACAGAAAATGGAAAGCTCTGTCTGACAGATCATCAAATTATAATGTTATGGTTGAGAGATAGTAGATTACCAGGTTCAATGTTACCATGGAAGCAGTAATAGCGGAGCAGAGCAATGCAGAGGCAAGTCTGCATGGACTGGTGGGAGTTGCAGTTGGGTCAGCTGACCCAGGGAAAGTTTTGGGAGCAGCTACTGCTCAGGCTGAGTTAAAATAAAAACACAAAGACCATCCAGCACTCACCCCTCCTCCAGTCCCACCCATGCCACCTAATGCTCCCCAAACAACCCCTACGGCTCCTCATGCCTCTCACACCAGTGATGCCCTCCCACGCATTTATCATTGCCCTTCATGCTACCTCTGCCAGGCTATGGCACTCACAAGCGCATTCACCCACTACACCCTGTTTAGAAGCTGTTGTGTTGCCATAGTCTTACCAGACCATACGGCTGCCCTCCCATTAGAAATAGATGACTGGTGGCAATTTAACCTGAGGGCCACCATACCTCAGGTGAGGGGACAGGTTGAGAAGGAGAGTCCTTCATGGTAACCTCAGATGTTGTGGGAATTACGCCTATGCAGTTGGCATCACATTGCTTTGCAAACCAGCCATCCAGCCAATGGTAGAGTGACAGTAAACTGCAGAGTGACAGTTGGATTTGTAAAGTAAAGTTCATTATTTTATGAAAGTTGTTATATGCACAATAATGTCAACAAACCCCTTTTCAATGTAGCTTAATAAAAATGTCAATCATCTAGATGCTTTAAAGTTTCAATAGCTGAAACTGCAAGCACTTGATACCTCTTAACCTTGTGAAAATAAACTTTGTGCAATTGCTAGTAGAGATCAGATAGCCAAAGCAGTCACTCAAGCAGGGTCTCAGGTGTTTCAAAAGAATGATCTGTAGGTGGCCTCTCGGCCTTGACTACATAATGAGGCATTGCAGGATAAGCATTCATAGAGTGTGGAGGCACATAGTCTCGTATGAAGAGACATGAGGGTGGATGGAGAGGCAAAGCCTGGCAGGGGAATCATAACTTTCCATCAGTAGATGGGAAGTATTCAGCCTAGAGCTCGGTGACCAGTGGTGTGCCGCAGGGATCTGTTCTGGAACCTCTGCTTTGAAATCTTTATAAATGACTTGGAGGAGGAAGTGGAAGGATGGGTTAGTAAGTTTTCTTATGACATGAAGGTTGGTGGAGTTGTGGATAGTGTGGAGGGCTATTGTAGGTTGCAACGGGGCATTGACAAGATGCAGAGCTGGGCACAGAAGTGGCAGATGGAATTCAACCTGGAAAAGTGTGAAGTGATTCATTTTGGAAGGTCGAATTTGAATGCAGAATATAGGGTTATTGGCAGGATTCTTGGCAGTGTGGAAGAACAGAGGGATCTTGGAGTCCACATCCATAGATCCCTCAAAGTTGCTACCCAAGTTGATAGGGTTGTTAAGAAGGCATATGGTGTGTTAGCTTTCATTGGCAGGGGAATTGAGTTTAAGAGCCGCGAGGTTATGCTGCAGCTCTATAAAACCCTGGTTAGACCACACTTGGAATGTTGTGTTCAGTTCTGGTCGCCTCATTATAGGAAAGATGTCGAAGCTTTAGAGAGGGTGCAGAGGAGATTTACCAGGATGCTGCCTGGACTGGAGGGCAGGTTTTATGAGGAAAGGTTGAGGGAGCTAGGGCTTTTCTCATTGGAGCGAAGAAGGATGAGAGGTGATTTGATAGAGCTGTACAAGATGATGAGAGGCAGAGGTAGAGTGGATAGCCAGAGACTTTTTCCCAGGGCAGAAATGACTATTACGAGAGGGCGTAATTTTAAGGTGATTGGAGGAAGGTATAGGGAGATGTCAGAGGTAGGTTCTTCACACAGAGAGTGGTGGGTGCGTGGAATGCGCTGCCAGCAGTGGTAGTGGAGTCAGATATATTAGGAACATTTAAGCGACTCTTGGATAGGCACATGGATGATAGTAAAATGTAGGGTATGCAGGGTAGATTGATCTTAGAGTAGGATAATAGGTCGGCACAACATCGTGGGCCGAAGGGCCTGTACTGTGCTATATTGTTCTATGTTCTATGATCTATAAGGGACCATGGGATGGTGGGGAGGGGACTAGCCTGGCAATGAGGAGGACCTTCTGAAATTACCTTCCAAAAGGTTTGCTCATGCAGACAGTGGTCCACAACAACTCAGAGGTGCTGTGAACCATGGCTCTTTAAGTAGTCATCCTGAGTCCATGGAAATCAATGGTGGAAGGCCATGTTTACTTCTCTATTGGAGCTGGCCAGTGCTAGCTGCAGATTCATGACCCAAACCAGCCTACACCCTTAAAGGACCCAAAAAAAATGGGAAAGCTCAGGAATGGTACGGACAATGCTGGAATTAGGATCTTCCCACCATCCTTACGATGTCCTGAAGCTATCCCAAATTCAGACCTCAACTCCTGACTCCTTTTCATTCCTAACAGTGCCCATGCCACCCTCATGAAGTCTGTGGGAGACTAAGAACCAGGAATAGGCACTTTCTGTCTTTGAGCCGATTCTACCATTTAATGAGGTCATGGCTGATCCACAAGGTAACATCAGGTACCCACCTTTGACCTGTACTCCATAATGACTTTGGATAACAAAAACTTTTAACAAAATTTTAAAATTAACAATTGACCAGGCATCAACTGCCATTTTCAGAAGAGAATACCAAACTTCTACCACAGTTTAGCTGTGTAAAAGTGTTTCCTATTTCATGCCTGAAAGGCCTGGTCTAAGTCACAGGATATATCCTGGAGACTAGTCCTGGTCTCCACAAGCAGTAGAAAGAGTTCACACAATCCACTTGCCCAATTCCCCTTAACATCTTGAAAATTTCAATCAAATTATTCCATATCTCCAAATTACTCCGCTCCTAGGGGACGTAGGTTTAAGGTAAAAGGGGGTAAGTTTAAAGGAGGTGTGAGAGGCATTTTTTTTTACACAGAGGGTGGTAATGCACTGCCAGAGGTGGTGGAGGTGGATGTAATAGCAACACTTAAGAGACATCCTGATAGATATATGAATTCGCAGGGAACAGAGGGATACAGAGGCATAGAGGCAAAAAGGTTTTTAGTTTAGAAAGGCATCACGTGTCGGCACAGGCTTGTTCCTGTGCTGTCCTGGTCTTTGTTCTTGGTATAACTTTCTAAATTCCAAAGCATTCAATCCTAGTTAGTGCCATCTCAAAATTTTACCCTTGGTGTTCAGGTATAATTTCAGGAAATCTGCACTGTAGTCCATCCTTGTCCAGCTACTATCCAAATAGGAGTAGAAGTGATATAATATTAATCAGAAGTTGCAGATTCAGGGACTCCACAAAGCCAGAAATTAAAACAATGCTACCAGGTATATTAGAAGCCTAAGTAATGCTGGTGTAACAAGGTCAGAAAGTTAGGGACCCTTTCTGAGGAAGGGTCACTCGACCTGAAACATTAACTTTGATTTCTTTCCACAGATGCTGAGCATTTCCAGCTATTTCTGTTTTTGTTTCTGATTTACAGCATCCACAGTTCTTTCATTTGTTTTGTTCAGAAAGTTAGGGAGAATGTTTTCATGCTGCAGAAAAAGGTGAGAGATACTACACAAGAACATGATAAAGCAATAAAATAGGAATCATTTGCTTAAACTATGAAGAAAGGGAATCATTCAGTAAAACAAATTAAAGTGCAAATAATTTATTAAAGTTACAAAAATCAGGGCCAAAGAGCAAAGCCACAAAACGGCAGGAATTCCCTGTTTCATCGATGAGACAGGCATGCTCTATTTCACCCTCGAAGGGCAGGAATCCCCCATTTTCAGATGAAAAAGTTTTGCTTTTTTAATTGCAAAATTATAGGATTCTTCTACTTCAGTCACAAAACACGGGGAAACTATCTCTACAGCAAAAACTACAACAGACTGGCTATTACTGCAAAATAAAAGTGTTTTAAGCAAACAAAATTAATAATTGGATTAGGAAGACTTTTTTTATTCATTTTGTGGGATGTGGGCGTCGCTAGCTAGCCAGCATTTTTTACCCATCCCTAATTGCCCTTGAGAAGGTGGTGGTGAGCTGCCTTCTTGAACCATTGCATTCCTTCTGCTGTGGGTTGACCCACAATGCTATTAGGGAGGGAATTCCAGGATTTTCACATGGCATCAGAAATATTATCTGGAAGACTTACATTCAGAGATGGACCAAATAGAATGGAGGATTGGACATAATGGAGAAAACAATTTCTGAGATTAAAAATAGCCTCCAAAGTAGATACTAAGTCGGAAGCTGAGAAGGGAAATGCATTTTTATATACAATTGGGAAAATTGCTGACTAAGGTACACCAAGGGGTAAAACTTCTTTGAAGTTTTTGAAAATTACTTTGTCGGAACAAATTAACTTCTTCAAAGAATACAATTTAATAGCCAAGAGTTCAACATCCAAGTAAAACCGAGTAAAATAGATTATTCCACTAGTCATCTTTACAGATTAGTGGAGCAATGCAGTATGGTGACTTCAAGTCAGAATTCATTAGAGAGAGAATTATTGTCTTATTTGCTGATGAATCTGTCAGATTTATTGCAATCTAAAGAAGACTTGACTATAGAGAAAGCCACCCATATGCTGAGTGAAGCAGAGATCTGGGAGCAATATAAATCAATTCTAAGGAGAGTAGATCAACAGAATAAAACTCTTATGACTCAAAACCACAAAAAATACAAATAAGAAACCATTACAGTGATTAGGGCAGGCACTGGAAATGAAAAGTCATTATTGCTGTCAAAGCATAGGCCACTTTTAGAAAATGTGCAAAATGGAAATACAGTTTCACAGAAGCAAGAAATCACGTAGCTACTCACACAAAAAATATGTTAATGAGGTAGAACAGTCTACATTAGAAGAAAAGCATAATGTATTCCTAGGTGAATTAATTGATCCAGGCCTAATATCTTAGCAAGGCAACATTTACATCAATGGCCATGTGACAAATTTCAAGTTAGACACGAGGAAGTGTGTCATTATATTGTCATGACCATGGAGGATAATCCCTGATGACCTACAGACATGTTGAACTTTTAATAACAGTGTGTTTTTAAGAAGGACATACAGCCAAAAGATCACTGTGAAAATAAATTCCGTGGTAAATTTACGATAGGAATAAAACAACAAATGTACAATATTACTAATGAGATAAGAGCTTGGGGGAAAGTGTATCCGATTCTGAAAGGGTAATTCTGAGGTCTAGCATTAAATACCACCCACTATCATGACCATTGAATGTATGAGATCTAATATCTGAAAGCCTCTGAAACACTCTCTATTATAACAATATGACAAGCAACTGATTCATAACAAGCAGCAAACCGTATTATGTAAACTACAAAAGAATCTTCGAGGAAGTGCTTTTATTTCGGACAACTTAGATCAAATAGATCCTGTAGTTGAATAGTGGTAGTTACCTTCATCATGAGCAGTGTGGCGAGCTGGCATGCACACACAACATGGCTTGTGGCAGAGTGTGTGAAATGTGAAATGTAAAAGATGCACAGAATGTATATGAACAGGGAAGGTTTTTTTTACAATGTCAGAAATGAAGTCAAATACTTAAAAATAATAAAGAATACACTTACAGACCTGCACAATACACACCACAGTTCTGAGAATGCATTGTAATTATTAGAATTGGAAACCATTGTCACAACATACTATTAACTGTGCAACAAAGGTAACAAATGCTTTACGTAGATATGTCTTTTTTCTCCTCACAATCAATGTAACTTAACACAATGCTCAGTAAGTGCTTGAGGGAAATAAGAATAGAAAAACTTATTGATGAAGTAGGATGTGAGGAGACTAGCATGAAGAGTTAATACTGGCTCAGAGCAGTTTCAGTGCTGTAGAATTCTGTGCAACATCTGGAGTTAAGGAAAGCGTACTCACTGGACGCTGCAAGGAAATTACAGAACATTTCAGCACAGGAATTATGCTTGCTGAAAAACTGGTGCCTTTAAAAATTAAACTAATTAAAATTCTTGGATAAAAATAATTATTATTCTTTGGATTTTCCAAGGCTATCCACAGAAGAAGCTGTGCAATGGACCGAATCATTCAGTCTCCTTCTGGCTAATAAGTGTAAGTACAATAATGCACTATTTGGAACGAAAGTACAAAGACAGTAATGAGGTATTGAAGCATCATTCCAGAACTGATCATAGCAATGTAATGAAAAAAGAATGAGTCCAAATGAGATGAAATCACTCCCAAACGCACTTATAATTTTAACTGCACTTTTCTGATTAAAATTACGTTGTATATACTTTTATGTTTTAAAAGTGTTTTTGCCAGTTTTTTAATACAATGCGGAGCACTGTTCGGAATGAATACTGATGCCTGGAATGAATGGGAGGGACATTTAAATCTGAATGCAGACAGCAAAGCATCACAAATGCACCCATTTCTTGTTCAAACAGTGTGCAAGTAGGTATTGGACTAGTATTTAAGAGCCATGTCTGGAATTTAAAAATGTGTTTGGGGCTGACAGTTTAGGAATATAGAAAATAGGAGCAGGAATAGGGACTTATGGCCTGCTATTCAGTATGATCATGGTTACTCATCCAACTCAGTACCCCGTTCCCACTTTCTCCCGTGCTCTTTGATCCCATTAGCCCTAAGACCTATGTCAAAAGTCTTCTTGAAAACTTTCAATGTTTTGGCCTCAACCACTTTCAGTAGCAGAGAATTCCCTAAACTCACAACCTACTGGACGAAGAAATTTCTCCTCATCTCAGTCCTAAAAGGCCTATCTGTAAACTTAAACATGAACTCTAGTTCTGGATTCCTGAATCTACCCTGTCCAGTCCTGTCAGAATTTTATAGGTTTCTTCAAGACCTCCGTCCCCATTCTTCAAAATGCCAATGAATATAGCCCTAACTGATCCAGTCTCTCTTCATACATCAGTCCTGCCATCCCAGGAATCAGGCTGGTAAACCTTCATCGCACTCCCTCCACAACCAGAAAATCCTTCCTCAGGAAAGAAGACTAAAACTGCATACAATACTCCAGGTATCTTTACATTTTTTAAAATTATCATTATTATTATTACATGGGTCAGAAATGGTTAATTGTGGCTTCAAGACTGGATTCTACCTCCTAGGGCATTAACTCTAACAGTTTAGCGGCCATATGAATTTGATGGCTGCAAAATGGGTTTCCAGGGCTAGGGAGCTGAAGACTCTTTTCCATGACTCCTCCTCGAGGGATCTCAGATCACACCCTCCCAACCACGATTGGGCTGGATACTCCCAGTCTCCCACCTCAGGGCAAGTGCCTCTGCCGATGTGGTCACCAGGTTGGCCACCCTCTATCCATGCTTACCCACCCTTTTATCTCTCTGATGAACACCCCTCCACCCACAATCTGCAGCCTGACCCACAATGCCACCCTTACCCTCCCCATACATATTCTCACCCAAAAGGAGTTGAGGAGGTAAATCACACCAAACAAATTTGCATTTGGAGATTATGCAACTGAGAGACAAAAGGAAATTATACAAATATAAGCCTTTGCAGTATACAAACAGATTATGCAAAAAATATAACATAGTTCGATGTGACTAAAATACAGACGGATCCAATTTTTGTCTGTAGGTAAATAGCAGTCCCACAGAGAATATGTTTTCATGTTCCAGTGTGAATTGCCCTGCATTTTCCACTTTAACTACACCTGAAAAATTACACACAACTCCACGGACTAGGCTCACACAGTTACAGGACTGAAACCAGCAGGTAGGAAAATTAGAGACAAAAAATACTGCAGGTGCTGGAATCCAAGGTAGGCAAACAGGAGGCTGGAAGAACATGAGATAACAAGGTGGAGAGCTGGATGAACACAACAGGCCAAGCAGCATCAGAGGAGCAGGAAAGTTGACGTTTCGGGTCTAGACCCTTCTTTAGAAATGGGGGAGGGGAAGGGATTCCGAAATAAATAGGGAGGCGGATAGAAGATGGATAAAGGAGAAGATAGGTGGAGAGGAGACAGACAGGTCAAAGAGGTGGGTGTGGAGCCAGTAAAGGTGAGTGTAGGTGGGGAGTTAGGGGGGCATAGGTCAGTCCGGGGAGGCTGGAAGAACACAGCAGGCCAGGCAGCTTCTGGAGGAAAGGAGCAGTCAACGTTTTGGGTATTACTCTTCTTCAGGATTCAATGCTGCCTGGCTTGCTGTGTTCTTCCAGCCTCCTGTTTGTCTCGGTAGAAAAATTAGTTGTGAGTGAAATTTAAAAGTGATGGGGACAATTAAAGGAGAACGTCACAATCTGAGCAGCAGTTTCTGGAGAGTTCAAAAAGGCATTTCATAATTCTTTGACAGCCTTTGCCAAACCTGAAGAAGTGGAATTAAAAAGTGGTAGATCAAAGAAAAGAGGATACCATGGTACAGCCCAAAGTCTATGGACAAATGGTACAGCAGCTCAACAACTGATATCCTCTTTCCCCAGTTTGCTGACCACAGAGTTCATGTATCAGTCCATGAACTGTGCTCCTCTAATGTGTCATTGCATGTATCCGTGCTGCATTAAGAGGTAGAGCCCAGTCTTAGGCCCACATTTGACCATCCCTGACCCACGCATGTGCAAGCTCTCTGCTGCAGGATTGCCGCAGGTGTACTCCTGCAGCTCTCGTGCCACAAGAAGTCCTGGAAAAGGCATTTACATTGGAGAATGAACAGTGCTAGCTTCCCTTTAACTACTAACTAACTTAGAGTCATAAAGCACGGAAACAAAACCTTTGGCCCAACTCGACCATGCTGACCAGGTTTCCTAAACTGCACTAGTCCCATTTGCCTGCATGTAGCCCATTTCTATTCATGTGCCTGTTCAAAAGACTTTTACATGTTGTAATTGTACTTGCCTCTATCACTTCCCAATACTTGGAAACCACACAGCAACAACAGGCAACCAACACTGGACCTCAGCATAACTTACTTTTCTGACTCTTCTCAATGTCCCTTGTGATGCTGTTCCTTGTGGTGCCTACATGCAAAAGTGATGATGTCTGTTTTTGAGAGGTGAGAACCCTCTTTTGTAACCCCTTGCCTTCTCTTTCTGGTAGTTATGCAATTTTCATTCCCCCAAAACCCACTCCCCCCCATTTTCTTTTAGAATTCAAAATTTACTCCTGAAATCCTCATTTGGTCTCTACACAATCTTCTTCACTAAGGCCTTTCTCTTCTCCTCAGTGTGATTGGCTTTTTTTGCCTCCACACAACCTAGCCCACACGGTTATCATTGCACTTATAACCAGTTTCTTGGTGAAAGTTTGGCTATGGAGTGCTGAACTTGCCCTATTGCTGTTCCATGGCTGATGCTGGTCATTTGTCAGTTTTCATATTTTAGCTACTGTCTGACTGTCTTCTGAACGTGGTAAAGCTCTTAAAGTGGTACATTTGCTGTTCTTCAAAAAAAATTCTTCTTCTTTCTTCAGCAACAAATAGATTCTGTCTGCCCATCACCAATCACCGTCCCATTTGGTTCAACTAAATAGATCCCAATCTGCACCACTGCTCACCATGTCATATTTTCAGGCATCACCGTTACCAGTATATAGTATTCTGGTTTAGATAGTCCGCTGCCAACAATCTTCTTTTCTCTATGTTGAGTCTAGGGCTTGGCTAATTATCAGTGGTAGAGAATGGGCCATTGGTAAGTTAAAATACCAGAGGCACTTGTTTTACGAAAAAAGGCAGTCTGTTGCATAATGGTAATAGTCACAGTTTACATTACCAGTCAAGCATTCATATTAAGGACTTGTGGGAGCTGTGCAAAATACAGCTCTGTGTATTTGTTCAGGATTCAACTGTGTCCAGCCAAAGATTATCTAACATCACCATCAACTAGTGGGAGCTCAATGTAACGTGAAACTGCACAGAACAATAAGGCAATTGGCAACATACAAAACATTACTGAATTCCAAAGATACTGTTTCCTGAGAGGAAAATCTGTGTTTTCTCAAACAAAACTATCAAGGATTCAATGCAATCATAACCATAGTCATATAGCACAGAAACAGACCCTTCGGTCCAACCAGTACATGCCGAACATAATCCCAAACTAGACTAGACTATCCTGTCTGCTCCTGGCTCATAACCTTCCAAATCTTTCCTATTCATGTCCTTATCCAAATGTCTTTTAAACATTGTAATTGTACCCACATCCACCATTTCCTCAAGAAGTTCGTTCCATATGTGAACCACCCTCTGTGTAAAAAATTTGCCTCTTATGTCTTTTTTAAATCTCTCTCCTCTCCCCTAAAAACACGCCCCCTAGACTTGAAATCCTAACAATGCACAGATTTTTATCCAGAAACAGCTTAACAAGTCAGAAGTGTTGTGAAAATATGTAGAAATTTCCCTTCTTTACTGACTACTGCGGTGATCAAGGGAAAAAAAATGTAGACTATATTAAAAGTTCAAGTCTGTCCAAAGATTGGCTTACTGTACAAGATCTTGATGTGAAAATGTATTACAGTAGAACATGTGGCCAAGCCCTAAAAAAAATTATTTTGTTCATGTCCAAATATTTTGAAGCCAGCTGGATAATGTAAACAGAAGCGCAGTTACAGCGAGATTGCGAAAGATGGAGATGTGATTGGAGCCTGTCCCATTGCCCAAGAATCCCAGAGTATGGCTTAGATAGAGGGTCAATCCAAGGTTGTGTTACCAGGATTAGTCCATGGGAAAAGTGCTTTTATCATGTGCTCAGTTACGTTTCGCATGAGAGCAACTTCTCATGCATCTTAAAAAATTACCGTGCAATCATAATTTGAAGGTGGTTTTTGAAAACTTACCCCTGTAGAGTATCAAACTTTAAAGCTGGAACTTTGTGCATGTACAAATTTGATCTTTTGAATTTAGTGAGGGTTACAAGTAGAAGATAGCTATACAAAGCTATTGGCCTAGATATTTAGTAATCATTTTAAATCTATCTGTAATAATGCCCTTCTATGCCTCCAATATGGCAAGCAAGAAATAGTTGCCTCATCATGTTGCTGTATTATTCCTATATTGGTGTCTATGTCTGTAACCAATTTTAGATTATCTGAATGCACACAGGTTGGTTTTTTTTTGGTGGAGGGGGAATGCGCTACCTCCTGTTCTGCAAAATTGATTTGGCCGGAGTCCCTTGCTGCACTGAGGAAAATCAGGACAGATATAGCCAAACAGGGGATGGGTCTGGGTGGGACGCTCTGAGGGTCGGTGTGGACATGTTGGGCCAAAGGGCCTGTTTCCACATTGTAGGGATTCTATGATTCTATGATAGCCAAACAGGCAGGTTTGCTCTTCACTAGCTCATGTCCAACTAATGTGAACTGATTTTAGTTCTCTCCTCCTCCCCCAGGCCCTCGATTGCCACTTTCACCGCAAAATCCCTCCATCATAATGATCTCCCTGACCTAATTGTCTCTATTCCCAATTCTGCCTCAACACTGAGCACTATCCTATACCTGTCACTAAATCGACATTACCAAGGAAGGTGCAGGAATCAATTTATAGATTTCAGAGGAATTAATAAGTTATTCAATCTAAGCAACATAATTGTGTGTATAATCATTCTGACACATTGAAGCTTTTGATTTTACTTGCTTACAAACATGATGGGAGGTATAATCAATAGTGCTACTGAGCAATGCCTGCTCAGCAATAATCATAGAATCCCTACAGTGTGGAAGCAGGCCATTTGGCCCATCGTGTTCCACAGTGTCCCAGTGGGACAGTGGTTCAGTGGTTCAGTGGTTAGCACTGCTGCCTCACAGCGCCAGGGACTGGGATTTGATTACAACCCCGGGTGACTATCTGGGTGGCCTTTGCACATTCTCCCCGTGACTGCGTGGGTTTCCTCCTGCAGTCCAAAAATGTGCAGGTTAAATGGATTGGCTATGCTAATTTACCCATACTCTTCAGAGGGTCAGTGTGGACCCGATGAGCCGAATGGCCTGCATCCACTCTGAAGGGATTCTATGATTCTATGACCCTCTGAAGAGCATCGCACCCAGACCCAATCCCCTACCCTCACCCTGTAGCCCTGCATTTCCCATGCCGAATCCACGAAGCCTGCACATCCTTGCACACTAAGGGCAACTAGGGTTGGGCAATAAACCCTGGCCAGCCAGCGATGCATATCTACTACAGATGAATAAAACAAAAAGCAAACCCCAAGTTTAAAAACTAAAATGCAGGGAGAGTTTCCAATGGATTGAAGGAGTGATTGGACATTTCCAAAATACTGAGAGCTAACGAAAATGTGTCCTTTTCCAGGAATTCAAACAAAATGCTGTCTTAAAATTGATCAACTCATAGTCATGACATTTTTATTGTAGACGGCATAAAGACACAAGAGCAAGCATTTAAAATTTACATTAATGAGATGCAGGCTATACCCCAAACCTGCATTGGATCAAAACTCCTACCAATCAATTTTGACTCATTTAAGATTTGGAAAATGGTTTTGGCATCTCTAATCCTATCTGAGGGAAAAGGTCACAAAAATGATCACATTAACAAACTAACAGAGTTCTTATGCAGCGATTAGACTCTCTACATTCCATTGTCAACATTCAGTGCATGAGAATGAAATTCCAGAAGGATTTGCCCCTTTAAAATGCCATTGCATGCAGAAATTTATATTTGCAATTTGTTATTGGAGAATTTTTTGACATGACATGTTTAAATAATATTGATCCTAGCGACAGAATCACCAAGTCGAAAAATGTTTAAACTATGATAACCACTTGGTACGATTTTCCCTCACCAGATGGTCTGTCTGCCTTCAGAGCATTCCTCCGCTTGGAATACAGTGAGGAGAACATTGAATTTTGGCTGGCCTGTGAGGACTACAAAAAAACCAAGTCTCCTGCAAAACTCACTTCGAAAGCGAAGAAGATCTATTCCGAGTTTATAGATGTTCAAGCTCCAAAAGAAGCAAGTATTTGATGCTTTTAAAAAAAAGAACACGCAGTGAGATAAAGGTCATAAAATATAGCAACAGAATTAGGCCATTCAGCCCATCAAGTCTGCTGCATCATTCAATCATGGCTGATGTTTCTCAACCCCATTGTCCCGCCTTCTCTCCATAACCTTTGATCCCCTTAATAATCAAGAACTTATCCATCTCAGTCTTAAATACACTCAGTGAGTTGGCCTTCACTGCTTTCTGTGGCAATGAATTCCACAGATTCACCACCCTCTGGCTGAAGAAATGCCTCATCTCAGTTTAAAAGTTTGTCTTTTCATTCTGAGGCTGTGTCCCAGGGTCTTGGTCTCTCCTACTAGTGGAAACATCTCCTTATCCACTCTATCCAGGCCTTTCAGTGCCCCGTAAATTTCATTCAGATCACCCCTCATCTTTTTAAACTCCACTGAGTATGGACCAAAGGTCCTCATCCCCACCTCATATTGACAAGCCCCTCAACCCCAAGACCATTCTTGTAAACCTTCCTTGGACCCCCTCTAATACCAGCACATTCTTCCTTAGATATGGGGTGGAAAACTGCTCACAATATTCCAAATGCAATCTACCAAAGCCTTATACAGCTTCAACTGTACATTTCTGCTCTTGTATTCTAGCGCTCCTAAAATGAATGATCAGATTGTATTTGCCTTGCCAAATGCTAACAGAAACTGCATGTTAACCTTAAGAGAATCCTGAACTAGGATTCCCTAGTCCCTTTGTGCTTCAGATTTCTGAAGCCTTTTGCTTAGAAAATAATCTATGCTTCTATTCTTCCTAACAAATTCTATAGCTCACACTTTCCCACATGTATTCCATCTGCCACTTCTTTGTCCACTCTCCTAGCCTGTCCAAATCTTTTTGAAGCCTCCCCGTTTCCTCAACACTACCTGTTCCTCTACATAACTTTATGTCATCTGCAGACTTAGCAACAATGCCCTCAGTAGCTTCGTCCAGATCTCCCCACTCTCTGCCTTCTGCCAGTCAGCCAATCCTCGATCCACGCCAGTATCTTGCCCTTAACCACATGGGCTCTTGTCTTATTCAGCAGCCTCCTGTGTGGCACCTTGTCAAAGGCCTTCTGGAAATCCAAGTAGATCACGTCCACTGGCTCTCCTTTGTCTAGCTTGCTCATTACATCCTCAAAGAATTCTAACAGATTTGCCAGGCATGACCTCTCCTTGACAAACACATGTGGACACAGCCCAACTTTTTCATGCACTTCTCTGCAATCTCACCCTTAGTAATGGACTCTAAAATCTTACCAACAATTGAGGCTATATCAACAGCCTATAGTTTCCTGTCTTATGCTTCTGTCCCTTCTTAAATAGGGGTGTTACTTTAGCCATTTTCCAGTCCTCTGGGACCCTCCTTGAGTCCAGTGATTCCTGAAAGTTCATCACCAATGCTTCCACAATCTCCTCAGCTATCTCCTTCAGAGCCCTGGGGTGTAGTTCATTCGGTCCGGGTGTTTTATCCAGCTTCAGACTTTTTACCTTCCCCAGCACCTTCTCCTTAGTGAGGGCCACTACATTTCCTGACTTGCTTGAAGTTCCACCATGCTGCTGGTGTCTTCCGCTGTGAAGACTGATACCAAGTACTTATTCAGTTCCTCTGCTGTTTCTTTATTCCCCATTTCTACTTCTCCAGCTTCATTTAACTGCAGTCCAATGTTCACTCTTGCCTCTCTCTTCCCTTCTATATGACTAAAAACAAAACCCTTGTAATCTTCTCTTATGTTACTAGCTAGTTTACGTTCATGATGCCTCATCCTCCCCTTAATATGTTTCTTCTTCCTTGGGATGAATTTCTGCCGTGCCTCCCAGATTACCCCCAGAAACTCCTGCCATTGCTACTTCACTGTCTGCCCTGCTCGGTTCCCCTTCCAATCAACTCTGACTAGCTCTTCCCTCATGTCTTTGTAGTTGCCTTTCCTCAGTTGTAATACTGTTACATCTGATTCCCGTTTCTCCGTCTCAAACTGCAAGGAGAATTCTATCATATTATGGTCGCTGCTAGGGGTTCCTTCATCTTAAGCTCCCTAATCAAGTTTGCCTCATTTCACACATTACACACAGGCATTTAAATTTTTCATACTGACTACAAATGATGTTCACCCGAACTAAAGGAGTTGCAAGTTTTTGTGTACTATACACATTTCCCATTAAAATCCCTGAAAACAGACAGAACGGTGCTGAAATATGTAATTCTGAGGCAATTATTTTATAGCTACATGCTTATTACCCGGAATGAGCTTAAAAATGTGATTGCTTGCACATTACAATGGCTCAAAAGAAAATTGTCAGCTCATTTCTAGTTTACTTTGATGTCATGAACTTCATGATAATGTATCCTGGTAGAGGCCACTCAGCCCATCATATCAGTGCAGGCTGATAAGTAGCCATCCAACCTAATCCAACTTTCCAGGTCTTGGTATGCAGCCTTTCTCTGTTACGGCACTTCAATGGCAGATCTAGAAACCTCAATCAAAAAAATCAAATGCCATTTTCTGCCATTTCTAGACTTTAAGGCAGTGAGTTTCTGATCCATGCTACCCCCAGGGTGAATGGATTTCCTCTCGAATCCCCCCTAAGTTTTCACCTCCTACTCTAAATCTGCGTCCTAAGTTCATGGACCCCTCAACCAAGGGTAATAGATGGATACGAAAATCTACCTGGACTCTTTACAATTTTATACATTTTAATTACATCTCCCCACATCATCCTCGATTCCAAAGAAAACAATCTTAGTCTATCCAATCTTTTCTCATAAACAAAATTCTCCAACCCAGGTAACCTTCTCAAAAGCTTCTTCTGTGTCCTCTCTCATACGACACATCCTCGCAATAATGAGATGACCAGAACTGAATACAGTTGTCCAACTGGAGGCATCTCACGCTGACAAAGCCCACACAGAAAGTCCTGAATTTATATTTGCCCTCTGACAGCATCTAAAAGTGTTCTATTTTTTTACAGCCAATATGATGCATGGCTCTCCCAACTCCCCCATCCCCCCCCGCGAACGGTGAGTGAAGACAAAATCTGTCTCCAGCAGAAATGTGGCTCCCTTGACTGCGCATTACCCGATGTCAGTACACAGCGGTTAACGCCGATCTCTCTTCCACAGGTAAACCTCGATTTTCAAACTCGGGAGCTGACCAGGAAGAACCTTCTGGAGCCAGCCCAAAGCTGCTTTAACGACGCACAGAAAAGAATCTACAGCCTGATGGAAAGAGACTCTTATCCCAGGTTCCTGAGATCAAAGGTTTACTTGGATGTGCTAAACCAGACACAAAGTAATAGCCAGACACAACGGAGGTTCAGCTGAGGAAGGCTAATCAGAACAAAGTGTACAGGGAGAGTTCTCTCCTACTCCATTTTCTGTGCCATCCCACTCATGAATTTTACTCTGCTGTTGCATATTAGTGTTGCAGTGAAAATGGGATAGATGAAAAACTTTCCGTGGTGGTATTCCCTTGTTCTTAATTTTCAACCGTTACATGGAATGCAGCTTCTTTTGACAGCAAGTCTTCACCCAAATGGATTTATCCCAGTGCCAGTCACCTAAACCCCAACTTATCTTTGCCACAAAGTTACTTGATGACATTCGGATAACACTTCTGTTTCTTTTAATCTGAGGCTTGTTGAAACAGCTTTTCCTACCCTTACATCGTTGAGATGTAAAGGCGGTATCAGATCAAATAAATGTTCTAGTGCACATGCATTTAAGTGTTTGAAGTGAAAACAGTTGTTTTAAATCTAGTGTTTGTAATGCAATAGATATTTGTTGATTGAACACACACTGTGTTTGTGAAAAATGTTTTTTTCTTAAATGCAATTCCATTTGTATATTTATCATCCCTGTCCCCTTCAGTCTGAGTGTATTTATTAAATGAGATATCAAATAAAATGTGTTTGTGAGGAATCATTGGGCTTAATCTCACCATATTTTGGCAAATTCTTTTTCGTCGAGTTTGATGGAAGATTTCTCTCCTCAAGGCCCAGTGAGGTTTCTCATGCTATTAACCCAAGCTTACCTTATTAACTACCTTTCATGCCCTTCTCGCCTGATGCTGTCTTGATTCTCCTGCTCAGCATTGTAAAGCGTACCTACCAACGCCAGGATATGCTGGCATCCCTGCCGGTGCCCTCTCTTAGGACACCAGACATGCACCCTGTCAAGTATTTGCTGCCCAGAGTTACCTTTCAACGTCAATGTAGTGGCCCAGCAATGTTTTGCGTGGCACAGAGAAAGTATGACTAACTTTCCCTGCACTTACAATTGCACAATCCTAGACCCATCACTGTTTTTAAGCTCCAAGACACACAGCTTACCTGACCCGAACCACATCCCATTTACAACTCTCTCCAAATCACTGCTACTCTTTCTGCAGCTGTCAGCATCTTGTCATTGTTCAATAGGGTGCCATCACATGCAGGGAACTCTTCAGTCATCTCAATTAAAAAGCACTTTTATTTATAAACACCAAAAAGAAACAGAAGTCGTTCAAACAGAAGCTGCATTTGCCTCCGAAAACAGAAACTGCTTGCACACAGAGCAGCAAACTACAGCCAATTTGTGCTCACTGCACCCAGCTCTCATCGACTGGAGCCAGGTGTCAAAGAATTCCAGTGTGGCTTGTCGTGCCTGACATTGTTGGCTCCTATCATGCTGAAAGTGATGTTCCTCCTGCTCCATGTCCACACACTCCTCCGAGGAAGACTGCTCCCGCTCTCCCAGTTTGTCAGAATCCATTGTATCCCTTCATTACCTTCTCCAGTTGTACAGAGCACAGCATTATGCATCACATTCTGTCTAGAGGACACTGCAAGGCCCTACCAGATCAGTCAATCTCCAGCCAGCCTATCACTTGCTCCAGCATGGTCCTAGTCAGTGAGAATGGCTGCATTGTGTCCGCAATCTGCCTCAACTTGGGGTGGAGGGGGGGTTTCCGTGATGGAATTAACAACCATTAACAGAGCCTTCAGCACCCCCCAGCAATCATCCTTGTAAGGCATGTGGCCCTTCAAATGCAGCAGGAACATCAGAGTTCTCAACAATGTAGGGTGTTGTGGTAGCACCCAGAGTACCAGGCGCACACTTCTAAAAGAGGTGGAAAGATCACAGATGTCTTGCGCATTGCTGGAATGAGACAGTTTTCCACTGATGACTTCAGCAGTGTAACAATATGGCCCTCTGAGTGCAATGTGTGTACAGTCTATAGAGGCCCACACGCAGGGGAAGACAAGCAATATTGCCAAAGCTTACTGTCTGGGCTGCAGCACTGCCAAGCACAAGGGAACTAGTTGCACAAAAGCTCAAAGTAGCTGTCACGTTGACAACCACCATGATGCCACCCGCTCCTTCAGGCTGCAAGGCCCACTCCACTTATTAACGTTGTTCAGTGTCAACTGTCCTGGGACAAGCTTAGTCTGTGCTGACACGGCACCAAGGATGAAAGACTCTAGTCCTCCTCAATCTCCTGAGCGAACCTTCAGCTGCGGTCTCTTCACGCGTTCAGCATCTGCTGGAGGTTGCTGCTGGTCCTGGCGCATACTGGTACATCCGTTCCTCCTTCATTACATCGCAGCTACATTCACGGTAACCCCTGCTGTGGCTGGATCCATCAGATACTCTTGCAATGAATCTACGAGGGCAATATGGGTAACAGAACAGTTCCTTCACAATACGAGCAGTCAGCACTCATATCACCTACATCACAAGTGACAACTTAACATGGTCCTTCACACAGTGGAATGCCATGGGCCATTTAGACAAAGAGGGCCATGGAATGTCTCATTTTGGCACTTTGACATTGAACCTCATTCCAATGAATCCACCATCGGTCATGGAGCAAGAAGATAGCAGGAGAGTGGAAGTGTTGCATGAGCACTGAACCTTTGCCCCCCAGCCCCACCTCACCCACAAATGGCACCATTACGCATAGGACAGACTTAAGTTCAGGCTATAAGGAATTTAATCCTGTGCCCCTTTGAGTCCCAAGAAGTCTTTCATTAGCTCTGTGATTTGTAGCCTGTCAGTGCCTCTTTTATAGTTGACTGTGATTACCCTACCCTCGTAGGGATGTCTCTCTGCAATTTAAAGGGGCCGATGATGTGGTTGAGATTGCTTGTAACCAGGATTTGTACCCACACTGCATGTATTTCACATGCACAATGATACTATTGCAAATGACCTCGACTTGGACTCTACAAATGTATGATTGATGTCATTTCCCCTTGAACAGTCTCCCATCACTCAGAAGTGGAGCCTGCATTTTGGACAGCAAATAGACACTGATGTGCCCCTTTCAGACATGATCACAGTCATTTGGAGGATGTATTTAGCAACCAACAGATCCTGCAAAGCAACACACATTGTGCTCGATATAGTAAATACCAGGTTCAGCCTGGTTGTCAAGTCCCCTGTTCCAAACTTACACATATCCCATTCGACTCAGCATTCCCTGGACAGCACACTTCTACTGAACCTTCACATGCTGCCACACACCACCTCAAACTATGACTCCAACTCCCATCCTTACCATCTGAGCCCCATCACTACAGTTTGATGATGCTCACCATAGTGCTATACAGTTTCCCTGAGCCCACTATAATGATGAAGATCACCTATACCCCCCACGTCCTGCAGCATCCCACATCCCCCTGTGCAGTACTGCCTCCCACCGTTATACATCAAAATCCCCACCACCCTCTTCACTGTCCCTGTACCCTTTTTATCCCAGCTTGCTGCCTCCAGTTGCCACTGCAACACTGTCCTCTAATTCTTAGCCATTAAATTGATTTCACTGACCCTCAGGACTGACCATGGCCCACCCCCCAATAGACTATGATGGACAGACCCAACGGATTACTGACCAGATCCCTGACCATTCCCTGTGCAGCTCCCTGACTGGTGATCCACTCATCCCCTGACCGGCTGCACTGAGCCTGCAAGACTGACCATGGCTCACTCCCTGGACTGTGGTGAGATGGACCCCATAACCCTAACCATTCTAAGCACATGACTGATCACGTCAAAGTCCCTGGACTGAGTGGGTCGCTGCCCTTGAATGACTGTACCAGCTTCCCAAAATGACAGCAGTCTCCCACACCTTGACCTGACTGAGGATTACCCCCATTCGTGGGACAGGCCTTTGGTTGAAGCACACTCAGTGTGTTGGCTGTGTAGGCCGTTGGCGGGAGAATAGTGCCATACAGCAACATGTCTACAGCTTGACTGATGCCTGCTGGCAATCATGATAAGCAGCCTGGCTTTGCGTCTTTGCCACACTGCAAGGCACTAAAGGACAGTGAGCCTTCAGACTGCAATGGAGGGGGAAAATTGCTAAAAGGCGAGGAACGGCAAGGCAAGGCAGGGACGCAGTGAGAATCCAGGTAATGAATGAGTGTGAAGATATCAAACAAGCAGCCTTAAGACGCATTCTGCTTCAAACTGTGAGCTGGAAGCCTGCCCCTGTGCACAACATGTCCTTGCAATAGCATTGCAGAGATAATTACCAGTGTACCCAAAGTGCAGCATTGAAGTACAAAAACATACTGCAAGTGGACAGGAGATACACCGTGATAGTTCATAGAGGCTGACATGTGTCAGGTGCCAGTGTCTTTGGATGTGGGGTGCGTGTGACCACTGCTCATAATGCATGTCCTGAGATGTTGGTGCTGGGTGTCCAAGACATAGGTCCAGAGAAACAAATGTCGAACTGGAGACTCCAGGTACCCGCTCGGCTTTCATGTCAGAAATTCTCAACATTTCGTTTCTATCCAGTGGTAGAATGGGAGGCAGCATATTAGTAAGGCGAGATTAGTAAGAATGAGGGGGGATAATAAACAATAAATCCCCGTTAATAGTCCTATCACCACTCATTAGTTAGGATCTCATCAGGACATCCTGAATTTCATTCCGAACTGCAACTTGCTGCTTCCAATGACAAGAGAGGCCTCATTCAACTTCTCACATGATTCGCCCAAATTTCTTGTCATAGCCTATGTCATTCAGGAAGATTCTACTCATTGTCTTTAATGGCACAACTTTGTTGGTAAGGCTCATGCAACCGTCATCATTTCAGTGTAAAACTTTGAACAGAAAAAAAAGTGTTAGTTCCAACACAGCACATTGAATAACAATCAAAATCAAACTGTATTTTAAAATATTCCACTTGCAAAGTCATGGGACATACAATCATTATCTAAATGGTTGCCCTGTACTCTAATTTCATAATCTAGTCGCTGCTCTTAACAGTACAGAAATAGAACAAATTAGGAGCCTTTACTCAAACTGCTTTGTACTAAATGTTACTGAAAATTATGTCTACATTTCCTATCATGTGCTTCTACTTTCCTCCTCTGCTTCAGAAAATGTTGACTGGTACAGTTTTATGTTGTCCCAGATATTTTTGCCTGACCAAATGGCTATTCTTCACCCTTGTAAATCTTAACAGTATCTATTTACATATCAAGACTCCCATAGGAAAATCTGATCTTTATCTAAAATCTGCCTGCCTCACATTCATGGAAATGATCGAGACTGACAACCATTGCTGACTTTTCTTGTTCCCTAGACCATCTGCAGCACCCCAATCTGCAATCCTGTATAACATCAGCTGTCCAAACTTAGGTCAAGGATTGAATCTGGCTCCCTGACTGTCTCAGTAACTTGGTGTCACTGTAAGTAGTATCTCTTAGTTTATGTATCATAATGCACCGTGCGAAGTAAAGTCACAGAAACATGATCGTATTTGCACAGAAAAAATTTCCATAATTGGTTTGCAACAGAGGATTTGTTTTTGTTTATCGTAATAGACTGGAGCCTCCTATGCCCCTTGCCTTGTATTCACAGAACATCATGTTCTCTTTCAACAGCATGACTTTGCTGGAAAACATACATGCATTTCCTCGAGGGGT